TTAGTAAAATTTCAAAATTTTCCAATGAAAAATGACTCTGGGAAAAATTCTGGAAAATTAGCTTAACTTAGGAAAATTCCCTTTCTCATATTTTAATTTTTTTTCGGAAAACTGACAAAGGGAAATTTGTGAAATTTTTCCAGGAGAAAAAGGAAAGTGAGGAGCCCATCATAATAAAATTTCAAACTGTTCCAGTGAAAGATAACTTGAAAAATTTGAAATTTTACCATGGGTAACATTACGTATATAAAAAATTATCTACGACTACGACTCTCCCAATAACGGAACTCAGGACAAAGGAGTCAAAAAATTCAGACAAAATCCGAACTTCGCCGAATCAGCTATTTATACGACAAGTGTGTAAAGTGAAAGGCGAGTGCAACAAAATTCACATTCGTGGAAAAAGGTTTACTTTACACACCTATTGCATAAACAAAAAAATTTCTACCAAGTACCAATCTGAACTACATGAATAAATACACGGAAAAATATACAAATGTAACACAAGCATAACATAGAAAGGTTGAGGGAGTAGTCAGAAACAGGAAAATTCCAGTGGTGTACCTACACTCGATCGACCTACGGATGGAGAACCATAGGAAAATATACAAAACTGTAGGATTATTTTTCAATTTTACATAATAATAATAATAATAATAATAATAAAGGCTTTATTTGTCATCATACATATTACATATTTTTTTACATAAATAATAAAAATTAATAACAATTTACATAGTTTATGTGATGCTGACAAAAAGGAGGTTGAAAATCAATTTGAGAAAGATACTAGTCCAACCTCCAGAAAATACAGATAAAAAAAATTAATAATTTATATGTGGCGAGTTGCTCCATGCCTGACAGAAGCATGAAAAGTAAAAACGTCAATTGTATGAATGTATATATTGTACTTAAAAAAGCAAAAAAAATAAAAACAATAATAATAACAATAAACTCTCTCAACGATGGTCACCGCGCGCTCTTCTCAACAGAAAAAGTTTGTATTTTAATTTAAACTTCTTAGTCGGTACGGTTTTAAATTGTTCCGGAATACCATTATAAAGCCTGTAAACGTTATAAGAAAAACTCCGTTCATAGAAGGACGTACGATGGGTTGGTGGCGAGATGCGGCCCCGATACCTCAAATGTAGGGCATGCACATCGGTTCTATATCTTATTTTACGTGCTAAATACGTGGGACGTTCGAGAAGAATTATGTTGTGAAACAAAGTAGCAGAGTGTAGCTCTCTTCGATCTTCCATTGACAGCCACTCAGTTTCAGCTAATTTATACGATATCGGTTCAGAACGCCGAATGCCGTAAACGAACCTGAGGCAGGATTTTTGTACACGCTGAATTCTCTCTTTATCCACCATGTCTAAGCAGGGGCCATAAACTGCGCCCGCAAAGTTAAAATGGCTGAGTACTAAGGAATCAGTTAATTGCTTTTTCTGGGATTTTGATAGTAAGTGTCGATGAGGATATAATCTCTTTAAACTAGCATACGCCCGTTGAATACATTTATTTACATGTGGCTTAAATCTCAAACCTGAATCGAAAAATAAACCCAGGTTACGGCATGACTCTGTATGCGGAATTTCGTTATCGTCAATATTAATTTTAATGGTATAATGCTGCAAGTTTTTGTTCCCAAAAAGTAGAAACGTTGATTTAGAAGGATTTATTAATAGATTATGCCTTTTCGAAAATTCAGCTAAACTGCTCAAATCTTCATTGATTTTATTTTGAGCTTCCTGAGCCATGTTTGGGTCAAACGAGATGTATAATTGTGTATCATCCGCGTATAAATGGATCTGACAGTGTTTTACCCACTTAGTTATATTGCTGGTATATATACAAAATAGTAACGGTCCCAAAATGGAACCTTGCGGAACTCCAAACTCTTGAGTGGCTACAGATGATACACCCTTATTCGTCTCAACATATTGAACCCTTTCATTAAGATAACTATCCATAAGTGTTACAGCATTATTATCAAAACCGATGTGATGTAAAATAGAAAGAAGCAGACTATGATCCAACCTGTCAAAAGCTTTGCTGAAATCAATTAAAACAAGTATTGTAGCATAGCCCCGGTCAACTGAGCTTATGATATCATCGGTCACCTGCAATAGTGCTGTGGTGCAACTAAATCCCTCCCTGAATCCCGACTGGCAATGGGGAAAAATATTATGTAGGTTAAGATATTCAGTTATTTGAAATTTCATAATCTTTTCTATAACTTTTGATAGAACGGGCAGAATACTAATTGGTCTTAAATCGTTATAACTTTCAACATTCTGCTTTTTAGTTAAAGGAAAAATTTTTGAAATTTTCCAGAAATCAGGAAATGAGTTTTCCAATAAACATGAATTAATGATATTGGTTACAAAAGGGAGTATTCTGTTCATACAAAGCAAAATCATATCTAAATTTATTTGATCTGCCCCGGTAGCAGTAGATTTTATTTTAAATATACAATCTTTCACTACACTTTCCGAGACTGTATAAAACGAGAAGCAAGTTTTTATTCCGGTTTTTTTGTTATTTTTATAAAAGCTAAGAAGTTCTTTATCTGTTGTGGGTACCCTATTAATACTCAAAAGATGTTTATTTATTTCATTTGGGTTATTTAAATGATCCGGTATATGATTTGATTTTATATTTGAGTGAATATCTAGTACTTTCAACTTTTTCCAAAAAAGTTGTGAATAATTTTTTGTGGTATTTATAGTGTGCTGGAGATATTGTTTTTTTTCTTGCCGTATAGCTATACTTGTTTGATTTTTAATTTGTTTATAAAATTCCCAATTAGCTTCGCTTTTGTTTTTTATGTATCTATTATATGCTTTATTCTTTAGGTGTATCATTTTTCTAATTGTGTAAGTAAGCCAGGGTGGATTCTTATTTTTATTATTTATTTTTACCTTAAGCAAAGGTGCAAGAACATCGAAAATACCAAGTAAAAGGGTATTTAATGTCGCAACCTTGTCATTAATCGAATGCAAGTAGATGATATTCTCAAAGGGAGTCATAACTAAAAAATCATTTAGAAGTTCCTTATCAATCTGCTTAATCTTTCTCAATGTTATTTCCTCTATGGGTTTCTCACAATCCTTCAAAAGAGAGCAAAATGTCAAAGAGTGATCAGAGAACGCCAAATCTTCAACATCCCAATCAAAATTCACTTCACTATTAGATATCAAAATTATATCTAGCAAAGTTGAGCTGGATTTTGTAACTCGGGTTGGCTTTTTTATTACTTGTTGCAAGTTAAGCGATTCTATATAATCATAGAATAAATTGGTATATTGATCAGTTAAATTTAACAAGTCTAAATTGATATCACCACCACAGATAATTTCAAAGGGCTGAAAATCTGATAGACGTTTTTCAAAAGAGTTTAGAAACTCAGAAACTACCCCTTTGGGAGGCCTATAAAAGATACCGACTATATATTGTTTCTGTAAATTATTTACCTCTAACCAAAGTTCTTCAAGTACTGCATTTGAAGAACTCAAACTAACTGTAAATTGCAAATTGCTTCTTAAATAGAGTGCCACCCCTCCACCCAAGGTTTTTCTATCGCATCTCACCAAGTTGTACCCGTCGACGTTCACAGTATTATCTGGCATTCCTCCTCTCAGCCAAGTTTCTGATATACCTACAATGTCGTATTGACCCCGAATAATAGTATCTTTCATGTCTGAAAAATGAGGCACAAGTGACCTAGCGTTCAGAAAGGCAACCCGAAAATTTCTCATACCAAATGCCAGGCAAGGGACTTACCAGAAATTAATACAATTAATAAGATTCTCCCAAAAGAAACAAATATACCGAATACCCAGAGAAAAATACAACAAAAAAAAAATAAATAAATATGAGAGAGCAAATAGAAAAAAAAATAAAAAATGAAAAAATGATAATAATAATAGTAAACCATAAAATACTCAGTATTTAAGCAAATATAGTCCATTTGAATCATTGCGGTCCCTAATTACCAGGAAGATTTGCAACATTCTCCTCGTTCTTGATCCAGATTTTTCTGTCATTTACCTTTGCAAATATTTTGCCATCCGTCGACCAAACCAAATCCTTGCCCAGTTTTTCTTTCGCCAATGACAGTAGTTCATAGCGGGGTCTTGTCAGTACTTCCACAATTACCATATTACTTCCCTTCAGTTTTTTCATAGGATTGAATTCATACTAACATGGTATAAGGTTATTCGCTGTTAATAGTAATTGATTATCTATGTTTAATTACCTTCCTATAGTGCGTTTTTACTAAAGTCTATGCACCAAGAGTTTACCCCTAAGTTGTAAAACACGGCATGGCTAAAAATCATGCGAAATATAAAGAGAGGCCGGGCTCTACCTGAAATTCTCAAAATGTTTCGTGATCATGTAATTTTGTGAAGAAATATAATTTTCACAGATGTATTTACATTTCGTATTTATTTAAAATGCAATATATTCATCTAATGCTGAGTATAGATTATTATACTTTTATTATTATTATTATTATTATTATTACATATTGTTTATAAGTAAAACATAATTATTATTTAACTTAACACAAAATGTTGTTTTGTTTGGGAAGCACTGGAATTTCGGTATAAATCTTGTTCAAAATCTTTGACAGACCCTATATTAATTCAGGTGCTGATGTAACATTTTTCAAAGTTACTTTAAAATATAATTTTTTCGAGTAATATTTTTTTATGGAGTAAATTTTAAACAGGCAACTACTCTATATACATTAATTTTCGACGTAGGTAACTCAAAAACATTAAAATTAGTTTGAAAAAGGACTTTATAGAACTAAATGTAAATTCGTTCACTTGGTCTTGTACTAATTTATTGTCAGCCCTGTATTTTACAACTTACGGGTAACCTCTGGATGCACAGACTATAGTTTTCTGGGCAGTCGTAGAAAAAAAATTGTGGAAACTAGAGACTTTAAAAAAATGAAACAGCAACTAACAACTATTTTTAACGAATGCAATTACGTCATTTATTTTATCTCAACTCTTAAAAGCTACAACCATCGAAATTATTTGGCATATCTTTAAATGATACCTAACAGAGAAAAAGAGTGGAAACATTTTATTCACAACCGAAAAGTTACGTAGTTTATGTATACAAATATTTTATTACAATAGTAAGTACGTAGGTATTTATACATAATAATTAATTAAATATTTAAAAAAAAAATTGTATTGCGTTAATGTAGATTGTCAATATAAATACGTACAATATATAGTTCTAACAATTAATCGATTTCAGCAAATGTATCTTATTTCTAGGCACCAAAACGTAAATCAAATATGTGACGGAGTGCTTTTTTCACACATGATATGCACATACCGCCATTTGTGGTTTCAACTAATATAACTCACTTAAACTGTGTGCGTTTACAGTGTGTGAGATTGAAATAGAATAATTTAATGTAAAATAATTCTTTCGGCTTACAAAATAAAACTTCAATACTAAAGTTATTTGGCCTCAACAAAAATTTTTAAATATGGAAGTAATATTTATACCTAGGAGCAGTTTACATTGCGTGACAGTACACCCTGTTTTTCAAATTGGGAAAACTTCGTTTAGACCAAATAACTTTTGAATGAAACAGTTTTTGTAAACTTGACTAAAAAGGGTCAGAGGGAGGTCAAAGAGACTTTGGTCAAAGTAAAGTGAAAATCTCTGTGTTGTATGTTATGTCCTACATCGGTGTTTTAATTTTGGGGAGCAAAAGTGTAGAATTTTCTAGAAAAATTTTAGTTTCGATCCAGTTTTATTCAATGTACCAACTCTATAGTGAAATAAATTGCTGAAAATCTTAGTTTTAAAGTATAAATAATACTAAAAAAGTTGACAAAAAAGCAAGACATAGGTAACAAACATTTTAAATTGAAAATGGATATTGTTACAGGATATAATATATTATAATAATTGGAAGATTAGAGGTGGAACATTGAAAAAAAAAACAATAATAATAATGCATAGTATTTATGTCCTGTCTACTATAATTTTATCACATTGCAATGATTTAGAATAACTATATCAGCTGTTTATCAATATATTTATTTAATAAGAATGCCCCATCCCCATGCCCAATAGCTCTTTAAATAAGTACATGAGAGTAACTAAGTAACATACTTTTTATACGACTATATTTCACAAAATTTCTCAAAAACTACTTTTTTGTTTATTTTGGACAATTCGAATTTACGACAAAAACAAGTTGATTAGTAATGTCTTACTCTTCAGGAACGAGTAATGTATTACATTGTTTAACCGCAAACAAAAATAATAATGTTGATATTATTCAACAGTTGTGGATTTTTGTAAATTTTATTTTCAAAATAAATAAAAAAATCTTAAGTTTGAGGTAAGAGCACAATTAGTTTTCAAATAAACCGATTTTATATTGAATAAAAATAAAATTCAGAAGTCTTTATAAAGGTTTTATAACAAATTGTTAAGCTTTGCCTGTTTCCCCAAATCTGATTCTCCAACGCTGCCACATCATTTTACACCTAATCTTAAAATTGAACAACCCCTAAATAACAACGCACTTATTCCTATCCAGAGCCTCTTGGATATTATCCAACATCGGACTCTGATCCCTACTAGAAATATTTTCAATCATATTCATTAGCTCCTTAAAAACATGCATGACTCTCCAATTGTATTTGGCGCTACATTCTATGTAGCCGCATTTCCAATGCTTCTTTACTAAATTCACGATGTCACGACGTTTTTCTTCGCTCGAACTTAAAATTGCAGGTTTCGAACTCGCCGCCGGGACATCTTCAGACACTATGAGATCTTCCTTGTTGCCGACAACCAGGACTGGTACGTTTTGCATGTTGCGGCTTTCGCAGATTTGTTCCCTTAAGGTTTTGATGTACTGGAAGGTGTCTATATTGCTAAGGTCGAACACTAAGATGTAGGCGGTGGCACTACGAAGACCATAATACCTAGAAAAATTTAATCCTTATTATGCTAATTACAACAATAAATCAGAATAATTATATTGATAGTTGTATTTGGTCGTCCCGCCATTAACGAATTTATATCTCTGAAACAAACTTTGCAGGATTTGTAATGACAACATTCTCAGAACAATAAATAATGGCTGAGCTTTAGGGTGTTCGATAAGGATATGAAAGTGATTTCGGATAACCACTTGCCTCGCCTTCTATTAGTAATGAGTGAAAAATAAAACACTTCAGGGAATATGTCTCAAATCCCTAATGTTAAAGTTTTCCCAGCAGCACTTAACCATTCACACAAAAATATCGCCCCAGCAACATTATTATTTAGGTTTTTTTTTTTAAGAAAATAAAAACTGTGTCAGCTGTGCTGTTTTCATTCTAAAATCCAAACAAATGTATTCATTATTTCATGACTTTAAATACCATAAATTATCATGACTTAAATAATTGTTTTTAAGCATTATGGAGCTACGTCACCTGGCAGGCCAGAATCCACACCTCTCGGTCAAAATATGGTGTATTGCTACAGAAAAGTTTCATGTGCTAGTCGAATATTTTTATTTAACCCTCTAGGAATCATTCCAATGAAGAATTTGAGTTTGTTTTACCAATACACATTAAATATTGAGGTACTTGGACTATTTCAATAATAAAAATTGTATAATGATATTTGATACGAGATCCATGGCTAAAAACAAATAATTTCCTGTTTTTATAAAAAATTTCCCCACATGTAGCGAATATTATGGGGGACACTGTATACCACACTCCCAAACTTACAGATACAGAAGCATTATGGAATGGAACCTAATCAAGTGAAGCCAAAAGCAATAACATTCAGTATAACGTTTATTCAATTTTCAAATATTTTCATTATAATGCACCATCAATAATAACTCCTTTTGAATTTTTAACTCTTTGAAAATCAATCTCACTTCCCCATTGTAATGTAATGATATACTGAATTAGGTACCTATACCTTTAGAAATTAGGCTTCAATAAATAAGAGTTATAGATGACATTCAAAAATGAGGAACAACTAATCTGTATACAGAAGATATCAAAAGTACCACACCCATTATCAGTACAATGCAAATAGAACGTCTCTCTCGGCGATACATTTCAAAAAAAGGATAATGAATCATCGTTAGTTTCATTTTTGAAATCCGGTCTTAAGCAATTGAAGCATAAAATCTATTAAAACTGTGAGAGTTTTAGTGTACGTAATCGGAGTGCGAATTGGCTTTTCCTTTCTTAACTTATTGGAGTATAACATTCCAACTTGGAAATTATTATTCGTTTAAAAGCAATTCAGTTTTTCCCTCTTCCCTAGTTAAATGTTCTCCCAAAGTAATATCAATTTGCTTTACGTGTGTAAGTTTATTCTTGGCTATATTAAATATTTTCAGATGTCACATTACATGTCATGAATAAAGTAGGTAGTTTTATATATTTCCATTCACATTTCTCAACTCATGCGGATGTGATGACGATGGATTATTTGGTAGTAGGAACAGTTGAATAAATGCTATGTTACAAACAATTTTTTTGAAAATAAACATAATAAACTCTTACCTGTAGTTGGCCCATTCGTAAAAAGAGTTAACAGGAAAATAAGGGATAACGGGTAAATCGGAAATTTTCACTTTGTACCATCGTTCGTTGGTGACCACTGTGGGATAGTAGGTGTACTTTCTGTCAGTTGGTAGATAGTCTTCTTGGAATTGGTTAAGGACGAATTGCTGAAATGAAGAATACAAAATATAATATATTTCTAGTACATTTTCACAATCTCTGGTCATTGAGAGAAAATTGATAAAGAATTGCAACTGAATTCTAAACTTAGCTCTTATAAGTAATATTCTAGATTTCATAATCTAAAATTTAATGACACACATCTTACTATCATTCATTTATGTTCAGCTTTATTGAATCATAGAACAAAAGACTTGAAGGTACAGACAATGCCGATGAGTATGGGGTCTGAGTTGGAAACTGATTTCATAAATAATACTCTATAATTATCTACTCGTTGTTAGGAAAAAAGATTAATTATACCCTAGAGTCATAAGTCTGTAGGGTTATATATTTTTCTTTCAAAGACCGCTCATTACTTGCCTTATTGTTCACCCTGCTGCTACCATAAAACATTTTCAGTTAATAAAACAAAGAAAATATAGCCAAGCTTATACAGTAAGTCGTTTTTTTGAATACCAAATTATTTTTGTCTTGTATTTTATAGTTCACTTTTTTCTTGTGTTTTTTCATCATAGTTAGCTAGACCTTAGAGAATAGCTCAGACTTAGGATAACTTTAATCCTTTTATAAATCGGTATCATCACTCACTTAAGCACAAAGCTCTCATATATCTGCAGACCCATCAATGCTTTGTTCCGCAAAATCCTACCTAAATGTCAGAGACAGTTCTCGAACTGCTAAATATATGTTCCTTTGTGGTTGGGAAAACTACTACAGCATTTTGTCTTTGTCTGAAATTGAGTTTTTGCTTTGTTACATCATCTAAGTGCGGACTTTTTTTTGTATGAGGCGGAGTTGATTATAAAAGGGATTTATAAAAGAGCTTATAAGAACTAAACTAACACATTTTATAATAATAGCCTTTCTCAAAAAAGAGCCAGGCGCTTTTATTTTGAGAGGTACTTTACATTGTGATTTCGTTTAAATAGAAATTTTAAAAATAATAAAATGTTGTACCCTTGTTTTTTACATTCAGTGTAGAAAAAACTTTGCCTATTTTCCACTTTTCCCAGGAACATTTCAACCTTGGTTCTTTTCAGGTGATAAAACACATGCTTTCCAGTTTCCAATGTAAGTTTGCAATATTTCAGTTACTAAATTGTTATTAAAGTTTGTAAGTCAAGAGACACCTTTCTCGAATTTTTACGATTTACGTGAGGAAAACTTTAAATTACAGTTTGCCTTGAGGGGTTAAAGTTGGAAGGGTGGCATAATAGAAAAAGACGGTAAATGGTTTTTGTGCTCCGATTCCAAATATGTTTTTGAACAGAACAAGCATGAAATATTTTATCATTTGAAATTTTGTTATGTAGCGTTACTTTGGTTTTCCGCAGGCCTATTAGATAGGAACCGGACAGCATTGGTAAAGTCCTCCAACTCATGGGGCGGATGACAAGGCATGCGCCCAACGGTCCAATAGGAGTGGTTCATTCGTTCCGGCGCTATGCGGTCTGACAATCACATAAAAAACGGTACGGTAACTGTCAGACTTACGGGCGTCGCCAATACAAATGGCCTTTCGGTGGAAAAAGGGACTCATGACGTAATCAACTAGGTCACATGCTAACATCATTGACATGTGCAGTGGAGAAACACATATTAGCCCACTCGGATGAGAAAAATAATAAATGCAACATATGCGATGCCAAATGGAGCTTTAAAAAACATTCAATGACACATTTGGGTATCTATCCGTTTGAATGTGAAACTTGCAAAACGAAATTTAAACGGAAAGACCATTTAAACTCAGGCACTCGGAAATTTATGCTTTCAAATGTGACACTTGCAAAGCAAAATTTAGTCACAAATACCTTTTAAAAAATCACAAACTATCACACTCTGAAATTTATCCTTTCAAATGTGACTCTTGCAAAGCAAAATTCAAACGGAAAGGCGGTTTGAAATGTCACATATCAACACACTCGGATGAGAAGAATTTTAAATGCAACATATGCGAGGCTAAATTTAAAACCAATGGAGTTTTAAAGAAACATTCAATGACACATTTGGATATCTATCCATTTGAATGTGTCACTTGCAAAGCAAAATTTAGACAAAAACACCATTTGAAGAGCCACCAACTAATACACTCGAATATTTATCGTTTTGAATGTTACACTTGCAAAGTAAAATTTAGGCATGAAGGCAGTTTGAAGAGATACATATTATTTACACACATTCAATGATACACTCGGATATTTTTCCTTTTGAATGTGATACTTGCAAAGCAAAATTTAGACGCAAATACCATTTGAAAAGTCACCAACTAATACACTCGGATATTTGTTTTAAATGTGACACCTGCAAAGTAAAATTTAGACATAAAAGCACTTTGAAGAAACATACTCGAATTAAAAAAATTTCAAATGCACCTCCAAATTTAGAGTCAGAAGTAATTTAGAACAATACACATTCACAAATTTTAACGTAACTTTTGCTCTGCTAAATTTAACCTTGGAACTATTTTTTGATGACAAACCTTGTAATTTAATGGCACTTGTTTAGAAGAAGATGAAGACCACGTCAACTCTATATTTAATTGGTGATTTTTTCCAAAATGTTTCCATAAGTGCCTTATGGTTATATAAATCTACTTCTTTGTAAAGTGGACTTTATTGTTACTTGTCTTTGTATTTAAAACAGGTGCATTTTGGACTCTGATAACATGAGGGTTTCTTAAAATTACATTTTTAAACTGTTTAATCCAAAGGTGGCATATTGATGGTTTACAACAATAGCCAAGTGTTATCAGTGTGGTGGAGGATTTATTCATATTCGAATTTCAGAAAAAAAATTACATTTTAAGTAAACCAACACATTTGTATGAATTATATGAAATGTATCGACCTATCTACTAATAAATTAGCATGATATAATACCTATCTATTGATTTTTGGGAATTTCAATCCCATTTACCTAGTGTAATCTCGAAATCTAATTTAATTATTATCGATAAGTCTAACAAGTTTTTTTTTTTTTTTAGATATGTGATCTAGAGGATATTAAAAATGAAATAGAAGTGTGCGATATTGAATTAATGGATCAAACTGAAGCGATATTTATGAAGGAAGAGAAACATTTAAGTGACGCCAATTCATCAGGACTGAATGTTATCAGAAAATTCCAATGTTTCTATTGCAATGCTTTATTTAAAACTAAGTCTACTCTAAAATATCATTTAATGGCACATTCAGATAATAATTTACTTTATGTCATACCAGTACATTATTGTGTTTTTATACCTTTTAGATACCATTTACATAATTCAATACTTTATGCCCGTGCGGGCATAAAGTACACATTATGGCCCGCGCGGGCATAAAGTACAAATTATGGCCCGCGCGGGCATTAAGACGCCAAAAATACTTTCCGATTAACTTATTCTGTATTTACAAAAATATATATTTATTATTCAAAACCAACTGGTATGACATAAAAGTTTGTATGCACCACGGGTACTAATAGATATATACCCTCGGGCGACTTACGAACCCTCGGGCCAGAGGCCCTCGGCTTTGTAAGACTGTCGTCCTCAGGGCATAATTATCTACTTAGTACCCTTGATACATAAATAACTATTTTGAATGTGAGACTTGCAAAGTAAATTTTAAGCATAAAAGCAGTTTAAAGAGACACATTCCAACACACTCGGATGAAAGGAATTATAAATGCGACATATGCGATGCCAAATTTAAAAGCAAGGGAGATTTAAAGAAACATTCAATGATACATTTGGATATCTATTCGTTTGAATGTGACACTTGCAAAGTAAAATTTAGACAAAAATACTATTTGAAGAGGCGCCAATTGATACACTCGAATATTTATGGTTTTGAATGTGACACTTGCAAACTAAAATTTAGGCATGAAGGCAGTTTGAAGAGACACATATTTACACACTCGAATGAGAATAATCATAGATGTAACATATGCGATGTCAAATTTAAAACCACTGAATATTTGAAGAAACATTCAATGACACATTTGAATATCTATCCATCAAATTCAGACAGAAGCGCTTTTTGAAAAGTCACCAACTAATACGCTCGGATATTTATCCTTTTGAATGTGACACTTGCAAAGTAAAATTTAGGCGTAAAAGCACTTTGAAAAGACACATTAAAACACTCGAATTAAAAAAAATTCAAATGCAGCTCTAAACTTAGAATTAGAAGTTTTAAATAAATAACACGTAACTGTTACTATCTTTAAGCAATTTCAAAAGACAAGTGAAATGGAAAAATCAGTATTTTAACATGTAAAACTGGAGCTTTGAAATAAAGCACTTGATTCAGGATTTCGCTACCGGGAATATTTCGCTATTTTTAAATTTATTGCTGAAGCTGGGCTATAAATTATTAAACATCAATGTAAGCGAAAATTACTACCGATTATAAGCTTAATATAAAAATTTACGACACACATTTAACATTTTTACAATGCAACTTTCAATTTTAGCTTCCACCGCGCTAACAATAAAATAAAGTTAATAAAGTTTGCAAAGCACCTCTATTATCCTTCATTACAGAGGACATTTTTAAGGGACGTAAATCATTTTCAGTTCATCAAACAACAACTGGTGCAACAAAGAAGGTTATGAAAAAATAAATATATTTTCTGTTTATTTTATATTTTTATAAATAATGTAAATATTTATGAATATGGGGACATGATTAGTTTGTTGTTTCCCCAGGAGAAATGAAACAAACCTTCACTTTTTATGTATCGCAAGACAAATTGCAGCGAGCTCTGTTCATACAATTAAAATTTCCATATATAAAATACCTTCCATGTTCGAGATTCAATTAGATTGCCTCCTTTGTTTTCATTTTCTACATTCTGCTTTTGTGACTTTCCAGTTCAACTAGAGCCTAGCGTCCATAAAGTTAGTTGTTTGAATGAGGCTCTGTCTATTATACGTGAAATTTCTGTGGAGAGCATTAGGCATTTATATTATTTTGCTTAACGCAAAAGGAACAATTTAAATTGAATTTTTTTTTAACAGCAGCCATATACAGCAGAACTTCTTGTTCTTTAACTTCATTAAAATTAAAATTCATTTTAGCTCAAATCCTTGAACATTGAGTAGCAAAGGATACGTTCCAGAAACTTTTATTCAAAATTGATTTAATCATGTAACAGATAATAATATAAGCAATCAACTAACGGGCTATCAAAATTCAACAAGGCTCTAGATTTCCATTATCAAATTAGATTACCCTCTATTTACCAAAACGGCCTAGCATAGGGATTTCAAACGATCCCATCTCTAGCCTAGTTGAACCTGGAAATCTCCCCTTTCTCGCTCGTCCTAGAAAATAAGGTTTTCCGTGAAAAATCACCCCGGCATTTGAAAGTAAGATCACGTCCTACGTTTCTCGATCTCCCCTTTTTGCCCTGCTCTTTATCCGTTGGGTCACGCGTTTCACATACCGAGGGGTCCCAGCGTTTTACCTGGAATTTATGGTAATATTCGCGTTTTTGTTGGGAGTTATAATATTGTTCCCGCTTTGCGGATTAAAACTTGTTCAATATTTAGAGGCAGGAAATTTGTCGGATTTATTTTAGATATCTTAAGGTCTGTTCTTGAAATGCACCCGCTTTTAGTTTGAATGGAAATGTAAATTTTGTGCTGTTATGAAAAATTGCTGGAATATAAAATGAGAAATGTCATTTTGTTTTGCATGGGGAGTAGGAAATGTTTTAGTAATATTGTAAAACGTAGGTACTCTTTGAATTACTTTTTTATTTCGTGAAAATATTTTATCAAAATACGCTTTTTCCTATAAAAAAGAAATGAGATCTAAATGTCACTCTGAAGAAATTGAAATTGAAATTGCAATATGTACTTTCGAAAACGCTCCAATTTGCTCACTGAGAAATCGGAAAAGGTTTAATATAAAATGCCCATCGAAAACTTTTAAATTATGTACTTTCGCTGGTAGGTTTAGTGCTGTTAATTATAATAAATTCTAAATCACGGACTCTATGCGGACATAAATTTGAAATAGCTGGGGTCTCCTTATTCAAACCGAAATCTCGTAAATCACCTTGTTTGCTCTAAAACTCTAGTTTATATGCTGAATTTTCCTACTGTTACATTTTTTTGGAATTAATCGTGATTTAATTTACTGTCATTTGATAAAAGTTAAACTCATTGAAATGCTGTGATTATTCAGGTTTGAATTTAAAAATTTCCCAAGAGCATTGTTCAAAGCTTTTCAATTTATCTTGATGAGCATCAGATTGTAAAGAATAACGATTTATTTCTGCTGTAGAAAAGTAATTAAATTCGTAAAATATATAGAACTTTCGAAACCAGAACACAAATACTTGTTGTCTTGTTCCATTACACACACAAAACTTCCTTGGGAAAAAGTAATTTAAAAATTTTCCTCACGTAAGTTCTAAAAATGTGGCTCACGTCTAACCAACTTCAATGATGATTTAGTAACTGAAATATTATAGAATTATATGTGCTCTATTACCTAGAAAAAAAGTTATATCTGTTCCAACGATTTTTATATTTTTAGGGAGGAAACTAAAGACCAAGCTAAAGTTGCCCGTCATCAAATATAATCTTTCTTTGGCCATTAGGTAGCCTGGATACGGGGACCATCAAAAGATAATTTATCTTTTTCTTTTCTCAACGGTTTATCCCTTTTTATTTCCAGGTTATTTTTGATGTAAGTATAGGATTTTCTACCAAAAAATATAATGGATATTTAGAGGTATTGGATGATGGATATTCAGAGTTATTGGAGTCTTAGTTGAGCTACAGGAAAAAAGATATAAAGTAATGCTTAGTTGAATTTGTATCGTAAATAATTCAATTAGGATTAAGATAATCTGGATTAGTTTTAACAATTGAAAAGTAAAACTTTTGGAAATTTGACATTTAGATAATATAACACCTTTACTGTAGGGTAAAAGATAGAGGAATCTACTATTCGTGTGCGTTCTCTATTGGCATCACCTTTGATTCCTAACCTTAGTTTTCCCGAAGAAATTTCTTTATTGTTACGAAATTGCCTCGGAAGCCCGACCAAATTCTGAGAGTGCCATTGTCTACGCGTAACATATACAATTCGGAGAATTCTAGTCAAGCAGGACGGCGGGTTTGTTTTAGATAAATTCCGAGTACACTGTCTACTATAAATAACACGTAGCAGTACTCAAGTCAGTCAGTTTTAATTCGATAACTGTCGTGTATCTTTCGATAAAGGATAGAGTGCGAAATAATACATTCACGGATGCCAGTGGAAGAAGTAGGACGTGAAGAAGTTGAGAATGTTTGTAACGATGTTGGAAGTGTACGTCACGAAGTTCGTCAGGAAGTTGGAAGTGTATTTTCCGATAAGTGATAAGTGAATTTTGTTTAAAGTCGAATAATTTAATAGAAGTTATTACTGTTTGTGAAGTGAGTTTTAGTGAACTCGGAATCCGTGACAATATTTATGATAATAAGATAACTTGTAATTGAACAAAACCTTTATCGTTGATAAAGCTAAGAGTTGGTCATATCATAATTTTATTGGCTTTTAGATGTTAAAAGAAAAACTCTCTATGTCGTTCTTAAATAATACATAGAAGTGAATTCTTCAAAAAGTAGGTAATAATTTAACAAAATCTTTATTATAAAATTGTCAGCTCTTTAACAACAACATTGCAATTAATGCGACTTATCCCAATCTTCCTTTTCAAGTACTTCCTTTAAAACTTCCTCGTAAACCGGTGTCAAATACAAAACGTCATCTTCGAACTTCGTCCATTGTTCTTTAGGTAAAATTTCCTTGCGACAGGATAATTGCGTCGCCCTCATCAAACGGAAGTTTCGCATATTTACCATTTCACTTGGAAGGCGCTTCAGAGCCAATTGCACTATAGGATCTTCCCATATGAGCAAATCGTCTCTTACCAGTCCGTATTTGTTGAAACCTGCCAGTTTGTAGGCTAATTTCTGCCAGTCTGAGGAGATTGAACGTTTTTGGATCAGGCTGAAGGCTCGTCTAGTGCGCAGAATCGTATTCATTTTGTTTGTGACGTTTACGTTGGATTCTATTTTGATTGATGATGTCAGTCGTGACGTGATTGAAATGTTTCTAGGAAACAGACTAACTGACATTATTAAGGTTGGCTTCAGAAAGATTTTTCTGCGTGAAATTTTACTGTCAGAAATCCACCACGCTTACATCGACCGTCCATTTTCACTTCTGAGGTCTCTAGTGTTTTATTTGTGACTATTGGCTTCACTCTTAACCATACTTAATGAAGGCGGTAAAACAAACTTGGAAATGTACCAAGTTAAACATAAGAAATACTAATAATAATAATTTTAAAAAAAATGTTAAGAAATGTTAATAAATCAACGGGTACATCACTGTCCCCTGGCAGCCTCACAGCCTGGATAACAGACCCCATCAACTTCTATTGACTTCCCTTCTTAAATAGGGTAAATTACGGTTTCAGATTCAGTGTTGTGGGTACTCTGACACCTCAGCTTCGAGACGTTAGCAAAACGTTGATAGCGAAAAACCCAATGGAAAGGTGAAATCTAAAAACCTTGAAAGAGCACAAATTCTTAGAACCCTTTCATATTGATAGAATCAAAATCCCAACCCTCAAATGGTACATACATGAAATGATTGAAATTAAAGTGCGAAATTCCCTGAAACCTGTAAGTTTCCCTTTGAAAATAATTCCCCTTAATTAATTAGCTTAATAATCTCCCTTTTGAAAGTGACTAGTGAGTTTTTTACTGACAAAATGCCCCTCGTGGAGGTCAAATTCACCTTTTTTTTATTGATTTTCAAATATCTACAAAAATACTGATACGCTAATCTAAATATTGATAACGAAAAGGTTAATTCAGATTAATAAAAACGTTTAAATTTACCTGGTTACAATTCGGGCTTCTAGTTGAATAAAACGTGCTCTTTGCTCACACGACAAATCAACAAAATGGCGTAGATTTTCGTCTCCAGAAAATTCTGGAGTGGTTGGCTAACAAATACGGGGACTTATGACCAAATCCAAGTTTTCACCCCGAAACCAATTAAGCCAGCAACCACTTGAGTTCCCAACGTCTCTAAAATCCCACAAAAGGTGGATGTTCGAAGGAACGCAGCAAGAGGACCGCTGGTAAAATCTGCCAAGCACTTGTTGCTTGCTCAACGTGCGAATTTAAAGAGAACGATCTTATTTTCAGCAATTAACCAGGTGAGCCTATATGAAAAATTTCCCCGAATTCTATTTTTTTTTCCAAGATGCCCTCTTGTGCCACATTTCCGGTCTTGACCAGGAAAACGAGACAAGTGGTAGCAACCACATCGATGACAACAAAAACTTAAAGTTGTTATCCAATTCTCTCCCCTAACACTAATTAATTAATCAATAAACATCATTTACCCAGTTTTTAGTCTAAAAACTATGTAATGTAAATATTAGTGCAAATAAGGGTGAAAAAGCGATTTTTAAAGGGTGTGAAAGTGATTTGTGATGTCGCAGAATTTTTAATAATGGAAAATACGAGAATCGTAAGTGTTGCCAATTGATTATTATTTGGAAGTAAACAAACATTTTCATCAAAAGTTAGGGCTTCTTAGACAACTTTCGTAAGCTAAATAAAATAGAATTCGATCCTATTAGTAGGGCTTTATTATCCTAAAACTACCCTGTCATCTGAATACAAAGAATTAACTCAGTATTACACCGAAAAATATACCTTTGTTCAACACCCACATATTGTTTCGCCTGATGTTTCATATTTTTTTTGCCAATTGGTAGCTAATGCGAAAACTCGTCTATCGTTCGAAATTAGGTAATTTATTCATTTCCATGAGTCGCACAGCTCAATAATTTGCTCTCTAAGGTGCAATTTGGATATTCCTAATTGCAATGCGACTTTTGAATCAGGAATTCTTTGTCGATGTTTTTTTTTATTTTAAGTTTCTAAATTTGAAATTACTTTTCAGTCCTATTTCAAATTCGAATCACGTTGAACTTTTAATTGGATTTGCATTTATTCGCAAATTCATTAGCAGTCAAACAGGTGCGCATTTCTATAACTTTTGAATTATTGATATCTTCAATTTTCAAACCAAAGTTGGGATAGGCGTGCAATGAAGTTGAGCAGTCTGGTTATATGCACCTCAGTCTCAGTCTAACCTAACTTAATTTTCATTATTAACTTATTTGTTTTATTGATTTTAAATTATAAGGTTTCTGAGGAGCAGACAAGTCTCTATTTGGACTGCACTGCAGTAAATATTATGGAGTAAATCCACTGATTATCGGAGTTGTTGCACCGTTATCAATAAACCAACTTTCTTCCGGCCATCAGTACAGCGGAGGTTTCTGCCAACAACGTCTGTTTCTGGCTCTCTTTTGTTGAATTAGTTTGCGGTTTTGGTGCTCTACCAATTTTCACATTGTTTTACTCTGACCATGAGATTTGAAGTAGTTGCAAAAAAGACATTTCTTCTGATAGTGTTTATTGTAATATAGTTTCAGGGTCAGCTAGTAAGTTCACTAGTTTCAATATAAAGGCCATGTTCATTTTTCACATAACATAAGTTATCTCAAGTAGTCAACCAAACATACTTAAGAAAACCCTACTGAATATCCCAGTGTACTTGGTAATTAAATGAACCCCCCAAAATTTAATGATCTCACTTGTTTCTCAAAGTAGCAAACAAGCCATTTGGAAAACCACTTACCTCTGCTATTCTAAATACATTGCGCGTAGCCAGTCAAAATTGTTCACGTTCGCATCATAAATCAGCACTGAAAGAGCGAAATGCGCAACACTTTATTCTGGGTCTGCGAGCGTTTAATCAACCCCGTTCAACGCTATTTGTCTGCTCGTGTTAAATTTAATTTTGAAATCAACCCTCCACTAAAACAGATAGCGCTAAGCAAATGTGATTACGCGTGTCGGGGTGCGAAATTTATCTGACTTGTTTTGTAATGTGGTGGTATTTTGTTCTTTCATTGGAATTTAACCTCAGTTAAATAATAACGGTGTTTTGTGGTAATGCTAACCAATAACGTCATCTAGCTTTACTATTAGACTTAAAAAGCTAATATAAGTTTTGCTTATGGTCGATGGAAGTAATGATGCTGAATTAACTAGATTTTTGTTGTTCCGTCAGGGAAATGCCTGCATATTACGACAGTAATCCAATTTATTGGACTTCCATTTCTGGTTATGTTTTATTGAATTCCTACCTATAAAATCACCTCAAGTACTGTAATTTATTAGGACGAACTTTAATTTAGAAATTATTTTAGAGACACTTAGCATAACTACGTCGGTATATTCCTAGGTCTATGTTATAATGTATGAGAGTAAAGCTTTTAGCTAATGAGGAGCGGCAATAACTAGGTATATGAACAAAAATGTAGTTAATGCAAAAAAAAAAACAAGAACGAGATGGCCGGAAAATTCAAATATTTATCGAAATTCCACTCCGCACACAACATATTCCAGCAAATGTTAGCCCTTATTCTATTTACTCAGAAAATCTCAACATCCCTTTTCTGCGATTTAGCATATACATATGAAAAGTTGACATTAATAATTCAATATAGTGGGACATGTACACCTGTTTGTAAGTGAATCCTGTAAAAACTATTTCAAATGGACTATTGAGTTGGCCATAAGGAGATTCGACAAAATATAATCATTTCAATTATTGAAATTAATAGATACTAATTTTTTAAGTTTAAAGTTCTATTGAGTTTCCAGCAGAAAAGTAAATACAATGAAAATTATTGCTAATAGAATGCAGACAGAAGCTTTTCTCAAAGTTCATGAAAACTTGAAAACTATAAAAATTCCATTATGCTTATTTAATCCACTTTAAACCAAAAGAGCTCTTGAATATTTCCATATAGAATTCTCACAATGCCTTCATAATAACTCCTAGTATAATGTTCCCCGGTGAGAATATAACTGGGGGCTTTTCAATTATAACGTAAACTGAGCTTTTGGCAATTTAGTGCTGATTTATGTTCGAAACTGAAACATGAACTAGTTTGACCATCATGCGGGAATATAATTTGGATAACTATTTTCAAATATAATTTAATAATATTCAACTTATATTTAAGGTACCTATAGTGGTATAACAACCTCGGGTTCGTTCAGTAAGATTGAACGATGTGAATTTTTATTACGTTTCAAACAACAAATCTTCTGAAAAACGAAATGAAAAACAAATAGGACCTACGTTGTGAAAACTTACTCAAATTTACTTACTGGACATGTGCCCGACATAGCAAATATATAGCCAGTCTCACTAGCAGGTACTGAGGTCCCATACAGGAAGCTACTCAGCTGTAGTTGCTCGTCAGGGTAGGAAAATGTTAGTAAATTCAACAAGGCCCTAATGTAGGCTCTGCATCCTCAAAATCAAAATCCCAGCACATAATTTTTCTAGGTTTTAATTTACTCTTTATCTGTGTTGTTAAATACATGAACAATGCACAACTTGTATAAATTGAACTCTCAAAAATAAAATAATCAAATGACCTGTGAATTATCCCTTATGACACACAAACTAATCACAAATTGGATTGAACAATCAGTTTAGATAATACAAAATAAAAATTGAATAATGAACAATGGCAGACAAGCGTCTTAAGGGACCAGCCTAGCTTCTTCTCTCTAGTCTAGACTTCCATTCTCTTGTATCCTCTTCGGTTTCGGTACCTTCGTTTCCTGTGGCGTGCCCCGTTCAACCCTAAACTTGACGGCGCATACATGGTTGCAACGTTCACTTTTATTCAGTAAACGTTTTTTGAAAAAGTTAAGATTCAAAGAAATAATATTTTAAATAAGTGGTTTTCCTCAGTACCTACCCACTTTAATTTTATCTTAATGAAAATATTTGTACAAATCTACGTATTTGAATGTTACTTGAATCTATTACCGTCACCGATAGGCAAAAGAGTATATCGAGGCGCTACTGACTTCAAAACCTTCCTATTTCAAATTAATAAGAAAAAGAGAAAATTAAAATTTACTTATAACAAAAAATCAAATAAGGTTGAGATGCATAAAAGCAAATTCAATTCAAGAGCTGGTTTAATAAAATTCAATAATTAATATTCATGAATGAAAGTCGTTCAATTAGAAAAGTGCTTAAAATCTTTTGATTACCTTCAGTGGCGCTCAAGTACCTTTACTTGGAACACTCTTTCCTCCAAACTAAACATGTCTTTTAATTCGAGAAAATTATCATTTGCCAGCGTGTTTTAATTAGATTGGCCAAAAATCATATTAAGCAATGTGGTGTACTAGGTTGCATTTCCCGTTTTAATTTAATCCTATGTAGTAATCACATTTCATACTGATATGCCATTCTAAGCTTCTCAGAGCGTGTTAGAGGAAGGATAACACCCATCATGTAGTCGACTATCTAGCAATAACAGAATTACTGGAGTTTGCTTGAATAATTTGCTTCCTTCGGCTTACAAACGCTTTAGACGAGAATGATTAAACCGCAATAAATTTGATTATCTTAGACAAACACTTGACGCTCATCTTGTGAAAACACAATAGTTCATTTT